TTTCACCCGATGCTGTCCCCTTTGTGCCGGCTGAGCTCAGCCCAGCGCGAAGGGGACTCAGCGTTGGGTGGAAGGAGGAAGCCGATTTCTCCCTGGACGCCCAGCTTGCTTCCAAAGCCAAAAAGGCAGGGAGAACCTTTTTGGCTTCAGAGGTTTCAGAAGGCTTCCTCCGATGTCGGAGGAAGCCTATTGAAAGCTCCAAGGGCAGGGAGGAAGGGCAGGAAATTCGAATTTCCCGCCCTTTCTGCCTGCCTTTTGGGTTCATAACCCGATCTGCGTTCGCAAGTAGGGTTTACTACTTGCGATGAGATCGTAACCCGAAATGTTCATAATTAGGGCCGTTCATAAGTCGAGGGCCCACTGTAACTGAAAAAAAAATTAATTGAACTTTTGCTTTTTTTCCACCTCTGTTCTAAAAAGTAGTAGTAGTAAAACAAATGTCTGCTAATCCAGTGGTCCCCAACCTTGGGCCTCCAGATGTTCTTGGACTACAACTCCCAGAAGCCTTCACCCCCACCTCTGCTGGCCAAGATTTCTGGGAATTAAAGTCCAAGAAGATCTGGAGACCCAAGGTTGGGGACCACGGTGCTAATCAATCTGAATTGTTCTCTCATCCAGTTTATCTTGCATCTTGGCTCTTCAAAACAGAGGTTAGCATTTAACAGAAGAAGAATTATTCTCTGCTTTTGATATAATTATGGATGTAATTAACAGTGTCCCTGAGGTACTGATGCAGTGGCTATTATGACAGAATGTGCAGAATACTGTGCAAAAGAGAAAAAAAATTGGAGCAAAGACAAGATTTGGCAAGCAGCAAAGAATGTTTTCTCTCACATGGTGGAAAGAATACTACCCAGCTTTTGACCTGAGCTTCTACTGTATAAGGATTCTAAGTATTCCACCAACACAGCAGCCTCTTGTGAAAAGGAACATCTCTAAAATACCAAGTTCTTAACAATAAAGATATATGAAAGAAAATGACTTTATTAGCCTTTGAGCACATTAATAACATACAAAATAATTCTAAATGTTCACCCAGCCAAACCAGCTTGAAATCTATGGAAGAAAATCCATGTATGGCCATCTCATGTTGATGTTGTTGTTCCTTCCATGGCTGTCTTTTCTGGACATTATTTATACACTTTCCATCAACTATCAACAATCCTTTCAGCTGGATTGGAGGTCCAACGACCTGGTACATCAAGGAAAAATATTAGTAAGAAGTTATATTGACTATGCACTCTCTTTAACCTCAAGGTCTTGTAACTCAGAATCTGGCAGGCTGCCATTGTGACAATAAACATTCTTATCTTGCAAAGCCTGGAGGAATAAAGGCCTGTAGCATAAAGCATCTTGAGCACTAGAACACTGGAAAACTAGAATACTGTACTGGAAAACCAGAATATTGTAGCTGCAGAGACTGTAAGTTATGAGAGACTTATGTCCTTTTATTAGCATTGTAAAACACATTCAGCTGTCAGCCATTGAAAGAAAATTATTTTACAAGATTGTTGTACCTTGTATGGTAGCTGGAAAGCTGGCCAGTTGTTTTGCAATAACTTTAATAAACTATTGTTCAGCTTCCAATTTTAAAAGCACCTTTATTTTCAGGGCTGCTTTTTCTATACTCCCTTAATTACTTCAATATACACATAAAACTTCATATCTTGACACATGTAAAAAATCTGTGTTGTAAAATCTTGAGCTTTTCTTTGCTTGCATAGGAAATTAATGTGCTGCTCCTGCATCACCTCTTTGGCATCACCTGTCTTTGGGATTAGAATATCCATTGCGAGTTTCCAGTCGGTGTGCCATTCTTTTGTTTTCTTTATTCTTTAGCATATCAAAGTAATAATTGTTGGTTGTTGGCAGTTTACATTTGTTGTATTAGTAACACAGTGCTAGAAATCTAGAAAAGAATAGCTTTTCTAAATAATCATCTCACAAGAAGAGACGTACTTGAACATAAATACAGTGGTGCCTTGACTTACGAACTTAATCTGTATTGGAATGGTGGCCGTAAGTCAAAACGTTCGTAAGTCAAAGCACCATTTCCCATAGGAATGCATTGAAAATCGATTAATCCATTCCGGTCAAAGAAAAAATACAAAAAAGAAAAAATAGAAAGAAAAAGAAAAGAAAAACAGAGCAAGTCCCGCACTAGGACTGCAAAACAACAACAACAACAAAAACCAAAAAAAACACAACCAAACAAAAAACAAATCCAAAAATAAACATTGGAGCAAGTCCAACGCTGGGACTAACCCCCCCAAAAAACAAAACAACACAGAAAAGTAACCCACCCCACCCCAAACCTACCCTCCAAAACCCACCCAAAATAACTTTTTTAAAAGGAAAAAGCAGCACCTTACATCCACCGCCATCACGAGGCGTCCCAGACTCCAACCGCTGATGCAGGGCCTGGTCTCTGCTGCTGCTACCGGGCCAGGGCTCCAGCTGCATTTGCGGAGGCTTCCAAGGCTTCCAAAGCACCAGCACCCGTAGGGCAGCAACAGCGGCAGGGTCAGCTCATGAGTAGACCCGCACCAGGGATGGGCAGGGAGTGCATGGGCTTCCTGTGCCCTGCTGCGATCCAGAGCTGCCCCGCTTCTCCTTCCTCCTCCTGCACTGCCTGCATGCCCCATCCACGGAGGAGTCCCTCCAAACCGTGCAGTCCAGCCCAGGGCCTTCGGCGGCCCTTACTCAATGAGTAGACCCACACTTTCTGCAGTGCCTACTCATGAATAGACCAGCGTCTTCTGCGACACTTACTCATGAGTAGACCCACACCTCTCCTTCTTGCTCAGCAGAAGTAAAAAAGTTCCTTGCTCTAACTGTTGGGGCGAAAGAGCTACAAAGAAGCAGCCTTTTTTAATGTAATGGATGGAATATTACTAGGACTCAAGAGGCAGATTCAGATCCTTGCTTAGTTATGGAAACTTACTGAAGTGTTGACAGTGGTAAACCATTCCTTGAACATCTCATAGACCTCAAAGACTATGTTAGATTAACTATTGTTGAAAGCAGCTTAATGGCACAGAATACACAAAAAAGGCACATGCAAGTCAGAACTGATTTGACAATGAGTAGTGGTTACTATTATTGTTTGTCTGTAGATACGTGTATTTAAAATATATCTGAGTTTGTAGTGCCTCTTTTTGCACAATGCCGCACATTTGAGGAAGGAAGCTCAAATGAAATGCATACATGTAGGCCTAGGTGGAAACATTGATTAATAGGGATGGCACTTTTGTGTTTTAATGAAGGGGGGAGCCATATAAATGGCCTTTTTGTTTTCATAGTCTTTTGTTGATTCTAAAATAGAACTTCTTAAATGCGAATTATCTGTATTAATGATAGAGAACATGAAAGTTTCATGTTCTTTCAGACTTCCCTCTTTTGTGTAACCTTGCTTTCACTCCTTCTCTTCAAATTGCCTTGGAAATTTTTCATCTATTATCATTGTGTAGTTTTCTGTCACCAGCCAATCAGAACATGAGGAGGGATTGAATTTTGAATCTGTAAAAAGGTCTGGATTGGTGGGAATCCAGTAGAAGTATCTTCACTTGTTGTGAGTGTGTGAGCTCCTGGTATCTCCATCTAGTGCTGCCTGCACTTTTCTGTCTTCCTGTCTGCGCTTCTCTGTTTTTCTTTGTTTTTTGCGGGGGGGGGGTAGAGGGGAGGATTTATCTCCTTCTCTCCTTTTTACTGTTCTTGCTGTTGATGTGCGGCAGTCTGCCTGTGCTAGTTTGCTTCTTTGTGATTTTTTAAAAATCCTCTGAATTCTTAGGAATTTCCTACCTCTGGGGTCCATTCCTTGCTTGGAGTATTTTGCAGCTTGCTTGCTTCTGCCTGTTAGGATTAAAGATGAGGAGAAATTTAAGACAAGGCAACAAGTGGTAGGGAGAGAGAAATCCCTGTATATTCTATTCATTTTCGTATGGGGGGTGCTTTGATTCTATTTCTAGCCTTTATCTGCTTGCTTGTTTGCTTCCCTTGGTTTTTGAAAAAGGGAACACGGTTTCTCTGTGTATTTTGTTTTGTTTTTTCCCCCTTTGTGTGTGCATGTGTGTGCTTTACTTTCTTGACTTGGTTTTTTAAAAGTGTTATTTGGTTAGTTAATATGTTTGTTACAGGTATCTATTTTGGTGGATTTTGGGGGACTGTTTGATGGCAGTGGTTGCTTGCGTTGTTACCTGCTTTTAGAATAGATTGATTCATTACCGTATTGCCTTGCCTCTGCTTTTTGGGGATAGCTTTTAAATCTTCTATAGGGCTGACCTGAATTAGCATCAGAAAACATAAATATATAAAAAAACAAAGCAGAACAGAATGACTGAAAAGAGGTGGCCCCTTTACAAAACGACTGTTGAATGAAAACGTGAGATCTCCCCCCCCAACCCAGAAGGAAACAAAATTGAAAGGTTTCACCATGCCCATCTGTACTGACTAGCACAAAATCCTCTTAATCCTGCTTTATGTGAAAAATTGCATGAGTTAACTAGTGATAGAAAAACCAGAGTGAATTGCCCTCCCTTCCTCATATTTGTTAATGACTTGAATTTTGAACTTCATTGATAAATGGGGGTCTTCAACTTTTGTGCCTGAGATGTGATTTATAGTTTTTCTTCTTCTTCTTTCTTTGTTCATGTCCTGTTATTATATACTGCTTTGCTTTCTCTGAAAGAAAATGTGATTTAACATTAACTCCTGTTTTAAAATGGGGCAAACTATTGCAGTGTATAAGCAAAATACGGCGAGTGTGCATCCTTGACTGCAGTGCTGGGAAAGACAAAGATGTGCTATCCATTGCTATCTGGCTGACAGTTCTATATTTGTTGTATTGCTGCTAGATATATGAAGTATAATTTTATGTATGTTCCAAAAAGCTGAGTTTCTTTAACAGAGAATTTGGAGCCTTCTTCTTAAATGCTTGATGATATGGCTAAATATATTTGCACAATTCAACTAACTTGATGTAATATTTTGTATTGCTTTAGATGGACTGGTGATCCCATTGGTGGAGTTGTCTGCAAAGCAAGTGGCATTTCACATTCCATTTGAAGTGGTAGAAAAAGTCTACCCACCAGTGCCCGAACAACTGCAGCTGCGTATTGCTTTTTGGAGCTTTCCAGAGAATGAAGAGGACATCAGGTAGTATTTTCTTGCTCTGCCCATTCCTGTTCTCTTTGAAGTTTACTTATCTTACATACACAGTCATTGAAGCTAGCAGTCTGATGCGGTTGATTCTTTCTAAATCTAAACTTTCCTCTTCGGGCTGGCATTTGTATGGATTTTTTGCATGGGTTTTTTAGTTTTTATTTTCTTTCTAACCTATTCAGAGAATTCTTTTCTGATACATCATTGCCGCTAAATAGATTTCATACTTGCAGGGGCTAACAGTATTGAGCTGTTTTATATCAGTTGTCCATCTAACCTCAAATAATCTACTCAGACTGGCAATGAATTCTGCATAGTCTCAAGACCAAGGTTGTTGTAGCCAGGCAGCACTGTGGTTACTTACAATTAAGGCAACGTACTAGAACGACCTGGGGTTCAAATCCCAGGTAGCCGGCTCAAGGTTGACTCAGCCTTCCATCCTTCTGAGGTCGGTAAAATGAGTACCCAGCTTGCTGGGGGGGCAATGTGTAGCCTGTATAATTAAAATTGTAAACCGCCCGGAGAGTGCTTGTAGCGCTATGGGGCGGTATATAAGTCCAATAAATAAATAAATAAATAAAATAAATAAGGCAACGTACTAGTATTCTCTTTAGTCAAACTAAAATGTCACATAGTAGTCTGCAAATGTTTGAATTCCATACAAATTCTCTTTCATGATGATGTTAAGCAGATATTCTAGACCATTGTGAAAAATCCCAAGTCTGTACTTTTGAAAGTGGAGTAGAGTGGATGTTACGTGTTACCTAGGTTAGATGGTGCTAGGTGTGCGGCAGCTCTAAGTACAGTGGTGCCTCGCTTAACGGGCGCCCTGTTTAACAACAAAATCGCATAGCGATTAACTTTTTGCGATCGCTTTTGCGATCGTGTTGCGATGTTCCCTATGGGGAAAAATCGCTTTGCGATGATCGGTACCCTGTTTCGCTTACCGATCATCGCAAAGCGATGATTTTTTAACAGCTGATCGGTGGTTCCAAAATGGCTGCTGGGTAAAAAAATGGCCACTCGCTGTTTTCTGGGACGGATTCCTCGCTTACTGGGCAGCGAAAATGGCCGCCGTATGGAGGATTTTCGCTTTAAGGTGAGTTTTAAGCCCATAGGAATGCATTGAAGGGGTTTCAATGCATTCCTATGGACTTTTTAATACCGCATAGCGACGAAATCGTTTTGCAGCGATTTTTGCTGCACCTATTATCGTCGCTATGCGAGGCACCACTGTACTTGCTTAAGGCTTTGTGCTCTGCTGTTAACCAGAAAAGTGAATAGTATTCTTTTTAATAGACCAGTTGTTTCAGGCTTATTTACTCTTTACAAGGGTAAATGTCCCCAGTTAGTAGAATGTCTGAGCTACGAATAGGAATTTAGTCTGTGCTAGATGGGATAATATAGTGCTCCAACTGAGAACACAGATTGCTATTTGGGTATGCTCCTGGGCTTCCAAGTCAAAGCCCAGGCTTAGGTAATGATCTTGTACAGCCTTGACTTGCCACATTCATTCTTGAAGAAGGCAGATCTGGCCATGGTGCATATGTCTTAGTTAATTTATTGGGGGACATGGAATGTGTTTTCTTTGGGGATGTCTTTAAGAAAAGGTTCAAAAGTTTCAGTAAGTTCAAAATGTGGTGGCCAATTTGCTCACAGGATCTGGGTTTGGACAACACATAAATCTATTGCTGAAATACAGTGTTGCCCCACATAGTGACGATAATCCGTGCAGCAAAAATCGCTGCAAAGCGATTTCGTCGCTATGCGGAAATAAAAAGCCCATAGGAATGCATTAAAACCCGTTTAATGCGTTCCTATGGGCAAAAACCTCACCTTTAAGCGAAAATCCTCCATACGTCCGCCATTTTTGCTGCCCGGTAAGCGAGGAATCCGGGCAAAAACACAGCGGGTGGCCATTTTATTTACCCGGCGGCCATTTTAGAACTGCCGATCAGCTGTTGGAAAATTATCACTATGTAAGGATCGGTATGCGAAACAGGGTACCGATCATCGCAAAGCGATATTTTCCTATCTAAACTATCGCAATGCGATCGCAAAAATGATCACAAAAAAATTGTCGCTATGAAGATTCGTTGTTAAACGAGGCGCTCGTTAAGCGAGGCACCACTGTAGTTGTGTTAGCTCTCACTTATGTTGTGCAGAGTTCAAAGTATTGGCTATAATCTTTAAGCTCCTATATGGTGTGAAGTGGCTTATCTGAAATGTTGCCTTTTCCTGTGCAAGCCTGTCAGTGTATTGAATTGATCAACAGTGCTCTCTTTCTTGTTTGTGTCAAACCATTTTCTGGTTGGAACAATGGACATCTGTCATCACACCTAAGACATTTTGCCTGATGTGCTCCTTAATAACCTGCCTTTTTTTCTGAGAAAGTTTATGACCTTTACAGGACTAACTTCCCCAAATAGTTACTGTCTCCTGCAGAGTATATAATTTGCTTCTCCTTTATTTTTAAAATATTTTGTATGCTTTTAATCTTATTTGCTTGCTTTTCATCAGCTTTTTGTTTTTGGGGAGATTTTTCCCCTCTCTGTTGTTTTATTGTATTCTCATCTGTTTGCTGCACTGAACTTTTAGGAAAAGGGGGATATAAATGGTTTAAATAGTATGGTAACATTCCAACTGGCTGAGGACCCCAGTGGAAAATAGTCATAAGCGAAACTTCACATAATAAATGCATCCTTCTATAAGCAGAATGGTCAGACTAGTGCATATCCTTGGCCTGAAACAATAATTGTGACCTGCTTCAGACAGAGAGGCCACCTTTAATTTCACCTTGTTAGAAATGCCATACTGTACAGTGGTGCCCTGCTTGACGACGATAATCTCTTCCAGCAAAATCGCTGTAGAATGAAATCGTCGTCAAGCAAAAGTAAAAAAACCCATTGAAATGCACTGAAAACCTCTCAATGCGTTCCAATGAGCGAAATACCTCATCGTAAAGCGAAGATCCTCCATAGGGTGGCCATTTTCTGGTGCCTGTAAAGCGCGGAAACACAGCAGGGAGCCATTTTGAAACAGCGGGCGGCCATTTTGAAACCCGACGACCCGCTGTTCTGATCGTCGTAAAGCGAAAAATCGGTTCCCACAGGGAACCAATCATCGTCAAGCAGATTTTCCCCATCTAAACACCATTTTGTGATCACAATAGCGATCACAAAATACTCATCGTGAAGCGATTTTGTTGTCTACTACCGGGGTAAGCGTCTAGCGGGGCACCACTGTACTATGCATGTTCCAGCCTCTTATCTGTAGACCAAGCATATAAAGGGAAAGAGAGACCTGCCATATGTTAGTAGTTGCATAGAGGAGGGAACTTTGGTAGCTGTAGGTTCTCATGTAAGACTATCTTTGATCGTTTTGTATCTTAAACCAAAAAAGAAAATGAAAACTCCTTTTTAAATGCACACGCACACATACATATATTTGACATAGTTTGGCGTACAGTATATCCTGTTGGTGACCTGTAGCCCACTGTTTGAAGATGTGTGATTTAGAATGCATTCATGCCCACCTCTATTGAAGAATGCTTCATGAAAAAAGAATTACTTGTTTTTTTTTTCCAGGCTATACTCATGCTTGGCAAATGGCAGTGCGGATGAGTTCCAGAGAGGCGAGCAACTGTTCCGAATGAGGGCTGTTAAGGACCCCCTGCAGATAGGTATGATCTTTAGATTTGTCCACTTCCTGTAGATACTGAATAAGACTGAGGGCTTAGCCACAAGAAAACTTCCATATAATGGAGTGATTGCTAAGTCAGAATGGCATACTGGGATTTGTGTTTGGCCGTGCTGTCTTGGCATGTACAGCTTTGCAGGTGCTGGAAGTCTTCTCATAAAATGCTCATTCGGAGTTGCAGGGCCTGGCAGAATGGACATGGGTGGAGGCTCCATAGTGATTTAAAGGAGTGCATTTCCTGGACTCACTCCAAGTTTGGTCGAGTATTGGAATTGCTACTGAAAGACCAGCGTTCCTGACGTCGGGGGAGTTGCTTGCAACATCTGCCATCCCCAGGCACGGGGTGAGAGACGTGTCTGGGAGAATCTCCGGCCTGCACTCCCCGGCCTTTTTCAGGACTGGGACCCTGCTGCTACTGCTCCTGCTGCTTCAGGCCACCCCATCCCCTTCCATAACATCAGCCACCTGGTTGGGAGGGGAGGGAGGCCATAAAAGCCGGAAGCCTGGCCCTGGGTGGTATGCTATGTATATTATTTGTATCCACTGTTTTATTATTATTTGATTTATTTGTATTATTATTAATTGTATTCAATTTATGTTTATTTACTTTATGTATATCATTTTTATGCACTGTCTTGCTGTATTTGGTTAATTTTCTTTTTTGTTATTTGACCTAGTCATATTAAGTTAATCTTTTTTAAAATGTAATGTATTGTAGTGTTTTTACTAATTAGAATTGCTTATTTATATTGTTATTGTATTTTATTGTTGTTAGCCGCCTAGAGTGGTCCTCACCGACCAGATAGGCGGGGTATAAATTAAATTAATAAATAAATAAATAATGTTGGCTGGTGAGTGGAGCCAGGAAGCAAGCTTTGCTGCAGCTGCAAAATGGGTTCAAATGGTGCTGGCTGTTTTTTGTCTTCCTTACAGTTATTGCAAAGATGGCTGCATTCATGGTGTGTACTTGTTAGCACTCCATGTCTTGTCATTTGATTATTTTATATTCCCAGTTTTACAGTATCCAGCTTTTATGTCTTACAATTATGGTATAATAGACTCAACATTTGTATGTTCATTACATAATTGTCTGTGCAATAACCATAGTGTAGATTGCAATTAGCTGCTTGAGCTTCCAAGTTTATAGGTCAGTAATAACATCTGCTCACTTGACAAGCTTATATGATCAGTGCTCTTTTTTTGCACTGTGGTCTCTGAAAGTTGAGATTTTTGTAATTGTGGTTTGTCAAATTAGCTGTTATGCCACATGTTGCTGTCTATCTTTAACAATGATTTCATATAGACTTAAATTTGGCCTCTTGTAAAATGTGCTGATTATACAGTATTTCAATACAGTGGTGCCCCGCTTGACGACTATAATCCATTCCAGCAAAATCGCTGTAGAATGAAATTGTCGTCAAGTGGGGAAAAAACCCATTGAAACGCATTAAAAACTGGTTAATGCGTTCCAATGGGTGAAATACCTCATCGTCCAGCGAAGATCCTCCATAGGCTAGCCATTTTCCAGTGCCTGTAAAGTGAAAAATCATTCCTGAAAACAGCGGGGAGCCATTTTACACAACGGGCGGCCATTTTGAAACCCAACAATTAGCTGTTTTTAGATCGTTGTAAAGTGAAAAATCGGTTCCTGAAGCAGGGAACTGATCATTGTCAAGCGGTTTTTCCTATTTAAACATTGTTTTGCGATCCCAAAAGTGATTGCAAAACATCGTTGTGAAGCAGATTCGTCATGGAGCGGGGTAATCGTTAAGCGGGGCACCACTGTATGTTATGTTATTGTAAATTCTCTGAAGACCAGTTGGTCTTACTTATATAAAATATTTTGCCATCTTGCCTCTTCAGTCATAAGTTAGGGTGGTGTGCCCATCTTAATTGTTTCATTTGTTCTCTGGTGATGCAGACATTCTAACCTTTTTTCTTATCTGGTTTTTAAATATCCTCTGAAAACATTGCTTTTAATGAAGTTTTGTGCCATTTTCTTGCTGTGTAGAAATCTTTCCTTTTTCTACTCTTTCCTATTTTCGTTTTTAAAATTATACATATCTACATATCTAAATTGTTTATGTTGCAGTTTATATTAGTTTTAACTTTGCTGTCAGCTGCCTCAAAAAAGTGGGTGTGAAATGGGAATATACGTACTGTACAGTGGTGACTTGACTTATGAATGTCCCTACTTACAACCATTTCGAGTTATGACCAGCTCCGGCCGCAAAATTTTGCTTCTACTTGTGACCGGTGCTTCCAGTTGCAAACAGAAAAAGGCAGGGAATAAAGGCGCGAAATTCAAATTTCTAACTGTAGGTGACAACGAAGCTGCTTCTTTGTAGCTCTTTCACCGCAGCAGTCAGAGAGTGTGCGTAGGAGGAGGCTTGGAGTGAGTGTGTGTGTTTGTTTGCAGGGAGGCTTCTGGCTGCCTGGTAAGGTCAGGTGCTGTTTTCTGCTTTTAAAAACTGTTCTAGGTGGGTTTTGCAGCATGGTATTGAGCCAGGGGGGTATGTTTCTGTGCTGTGATGGGTCTTGCAGTCTTTGTTTGTTTGGGGGAGTTCTTTTCACGTTTCCAATGGGTCTTGCAGGGTTTGTTTGTTTTTTGGATTTCCCCCCCATTTCCGATGGGTCTTGCAGGGTTTGCTTTTTGGGTTCCCCCCCATTTCTGATGGGTCTTGCAGGGTTTATTCGCTTTTTGATCTTCTTTTTTGCCATTTCCGATGAGTCTTGCCGGGTTTGTTTGCTTTGGGGTTTTTTCTCCCATTTCTGATGGGTCTTGCAAGGTTTGCTTGCTTTGGGTTTTTCCCCCCCATTTCTGATGGGTCTTGTAGGGTTTGTTTGTTTTTTGGGGGGGTTTTTGCATTTCCGATGGGTCTTGCAGGGCTTGTTTGCTTTTTGCTTTGTTTTTTCCATTTCATGTCTGAAACCGGAGCCTGGAGCCTGGAACCGGAGCTGGAGATCGTCGGGTCTCTGTGTCTGCCTGTGGGTGTTTGTGGTTGTGAAACCCTGGGAGCATTGAGACGCTGGCAAAGTGGAGTGGTTCATCCTAGGCTCCAGAGGAAAAGGCTTCAGGGGAAGAGCTGAGGCGGTGTGAGGGAGAGAGTACTATCCGCTGTGGGCTGCAGCCGGCTGTCAGTGAACCGCCATGTTGGGTCTTCGATCAGGAATATCTTCTCCAAGCCTGGCTCTCTTAGGCTGCTCTTCTGGGACTGGCAGTAGTAACTCTCTAGCTGTTCACCAAGGGAGGGAGATGGCAGTGGCAGTGCCTTTTTCAGTTTGGATTGTGGTGCTCCTGACATTTCCTGCGTTCTCCATTGAGACCTTGTTAAGACTCACACTCCAGCCTTATCACTATCAACATTACTATTATTACCAACATTAATACTAACAACATCAACATTAATACTAATAACATCAAGTCCGGCAATATCCAAGTCTTTGGGGTTTTTCCCCCCATTTCCGATGGGTCTTGGGGGATTTTGCTGCTTTTTGGAGTGTTTTTTCCCCCATTTCCGATGGGCCTTGGGGAGTTTGGTTTTTTGTCCCCCCCAATTTCCGATGGGTCTTGGGGGATTTTGTTGCATTTTGGAGTGTTTTTTCCCCTATTTCCGATGGGCCTTGGGGAGTTTGGGTTTTTTTGTCCCCCCCAATTTCCGATGGGTCTTGGGGGAGTTGGTTGCTTTTTGGGTTTTTTCGCATTTCTAATGGGTCTTGGGGGTTTCCGCATTTCCGATGGGTCCTGCATGCTTCCCTTGCTTTTTCCTTTGTTTTATTTGCATTTCCGACCTGCCCCCTTTGTTCTCTATGCATTTCCAATCTGCTCTGTTTTTTTCTGTGCATTTCCAATGGGTCTTGCATGCTTGATTGCTTTACTTTTCTTTTTTCCCCTTTGGCAGGAAGGGATTAATAGCGTTTCCAATGAGTCTTGCAGTGATTTTTTTGTGTGTGTGATTTTTTTCTTTGGCTGGAATGGATTAATTGCATTTTAATGCATTCCTATGGGAAATGGTGCTCTGACTTACGACCATTTCGAGTTACGTCCATCTTCTGGAACGGATTATGGTCCTAAGTCGAGGCACCACTGTATATATGTTAAATAAGCAAAGGAACATTTATGAATCAAATATAATTTTTGTTAGCCAAATATGAACCCTTAGTTCTTACGAAGAAAACAGTTCTTGCAGACACTGACCCATTTTTTCTTGCTTTCTCTTTTATCCTGAATGCCTCTTTAGCATGATATTCATTATGGCATAAATGTATTGAACTTAGTTGGTCTGAAATAGAAGAAGTTTCTAGGAGAAACTTGGGGGAGGGGGAATTTAGTTCTGAATGTAGAATAGCCATAGTGATAGCAGACAGCAACGATGGTTGTGGTTCTTATGAAAGCATGTGGCACTTAACTAGATCTGAGGTCTGTAGGACAGCTTTTCAAAGTATGACTCCCTTGCTGAAAAATGCAGGTGGGGTTTCCTATTTCATGTAAGGTCTGGTATGTTGCACGGAAACCATGGAAGGCAAGGTATAATGGGAGCATGGCATGTATAAAATCAATGTAAGTACAACTGCTTGTTGCATTTAGCTGCTTTACAGTGTCTAAAAAGCTGGTATACCTGTTTGTACAGTATTCTGGAAGCTGACCATTTTCAGTTCCTAATAGTCAGCAAAGATTGTACTGTATTAGGGATGGAATTTGTCTATGTCTTGGAAATACTTCTTTTCTTTGAGTCAAGTGCTTAGACCAGACAACAGCAAAAATAATCCAACAAAGAAAAGATCTCCCCAAACCACCCCCAAAGGGGGGGGGGAAATCACCAAAGAAATGGTGGGGCCCTTCCAAACAATAATCCAAAGAAATGGGAGGGGGAACTCTCTTAAAATTAATGGGGGGAAAAAAAGGAAATCCAAGATGGAGGAACAGTGGAAGGCACACAGCACAAGCAAGATAAGAGAGCACTAGAAGTTTGTACACCCACAAGGAACAATTGAAGCAAAGGAAGGCCACACTTCCAACCACTTCACACCTTTTTACAGATTTCTCTTTTCATTTAAACATGGAAGGTGCATCCCTACTCTGTTCTTAGTTTCACACTACAGGTGCAACCTGGAAAGAGCTCAGTTAAAACGTTGGGTTCTCACTCTCCCTCCCTTTCAATTTAAAAAGGAACTTCTCTCTGTTTCACTGTACTTCTGCAGAAATTGTGGTTTGATCCAAAGATCCTGGTTTAAAACAAGCTCTGGTTGGTTTCTAAACAAGTCAGCCGTGATTATTTAGAACAAAACTTCTTATTCTTTAAAGTACCCAAGAACATTCATTGTCTTTGTGTTAAAATATAATCTCTGGCTTGTATATGAGAAGACAGGATTTAACCGAAGCTCCGTCTCCTTGTCTTGATGTAAGAAGAAGCATTATGTAAGCTCAAGTTTTCAGTGCCCATGAGTAGAATATATATATAGCATGTTTGATTGATTTATTAATGATCCAGTTTTCTTAAGTATTTCAACTATATGATTAGGAGAAAAATAAAGTACATTTAATGTGTCTTATATTCAAACACATTCAAAGCTTTCTCTGGAAATTGTTTTTAAAATACCTTTCTTTAAATGTTTACAACAATATGTACCATATTGCACTTGCACAATACTTTTTCCTAAAATAATTAGATAAAAAATTGAGGGTTGTTTTATACATGGAAGGCAGCAGCAGGAGGCAGAGACTGAGGCAAAGAAGCAGCCGGGTTTGGCCACCTCTTGTGGCTGCCCATTGACAGCTGCTGCTGCTGCCGCCGCTGCCCGATCACAAGGAGATGATCACTGGAGGGCAATTGGGAGGTGGCAGCAACAGTCAATGGGCAGCAGCAAGAGGCGGCTGAGCCCAGCTGCTTCCTTGCCTCAGTCTCCACCTCCTACTGCTGCTGCCTCCATCGCTGGTTGCCGGCTCAGTGATTTTGCAGCCCTTTATTCCCTACTTTCCCCTTCCTTTTGCTAAGCCTCATGGCTTAGCAAAAGGAAGGGAAAAGCAGGGATCAGATTTTCAAATTTGGGGTTAGAAAAGGGGGGTTGTTGTCATACATCGGGGGGGTCTTATAAACAGAAAGATACAGTACAGTACTTTCTTTACATTTAAAAAAAAGTGTTAAAAAGTGTTAAAAAGTGTTGAACAGCTCTTTTTATTGCACCCTGTGAGCTGCACATTATATGATGTGGGTATTCATCTGCCTCCCAACAACTGTTTTCAACTGTGGTCATTGGGACACCACAGCTTTTACAGTCATTGCCTGTAAAGTCATCTTGGTTGATTTCAGTTTTGAGGCAATCTGGCATTTATTTACTGTTACAGATGAATTTTATGGAAGAGTACAAATTCTTTTTGTAATAGTAATTTTTCGACAGAGAAATTTAAGCACTTGAAAGTCTGCCCCACATCAATAGTGAGCTTGAATTTATTTGAGTTTGTGTATGTGGTGTTAAACCACAGTTTAGTGTTAAGAACTGCATGAAGAGTTGTAAACAGGAAATAATTTAATTTTAAAAATCAATTAAGATACCCTTTTCTAGGTACAAATCCTTGGGATGGAATAGAATAGTTTCTTTTTAATTCAGTAGAAATGATGATTAACATTTAAAAGGAACTGTGATTTATTGAAATATAGTGCTGAAGATTTGATTGACACAAGGACGATTCAGTATTGTAAATGGTGGCATTTGGCTAATTCATCTGCTTGTAACTGTATGTTTGGATTGCATTATGTTTCTTCTTGTGTCTGTGGAAACTCTGTCTCCCCATGCCTCAGTGCAGCCTGTAACCTTTGCCCTGTTCTTTGACAGGTTTCCACCTCAGTGCCACAGTGGTACCTCCCCAGATGGTGCCACCAAAAGGAGCATACAACGTGGCTGTGATGTTCGACAGATGCAGGATCACTTCATGCAGCTGTACTTGTGGAGCAGGGGCCAAATGGTGTGCTCATGTTGTAGCCCTCTGTCTTTTCCGGATACACAATGTAGGACTTGAATTATGACTTATCATTGCATTGCACAGTTCACAAAATAACTGAATTATTCAGTAACATTGGATTTTGTTTTTGATCATTTGAATCAGACTTGTGCTGTGTGACTAGCTTGCATTGAAAATGAGAAAGTTACTCCATTTCACCAACCTTAATTTATTTAGAGGTGTTTAGCATTTAAAGAAAATCAGAATAGCAGCAAAGGCTGAAGACAAAAAGGCCTAAGGAGCTTGATACTTTAGCAACAACAAAATTAGCCATTGTTATATTCTAATATGTGCACTGTCTCTGATATGCAGTAGTGAGGGAAATGATTGCATTTGTTTTACATAAACAGAGTATCTAGAAATAATGGCCAGGATCTGCAGAATTTAAGTTCACAAATTAAGCTTATAGGGCAAGTCTGATCTCTCTCCACCCGAAAGTTGACCTTCACGTCCTATCATAAACTGAAGTGAATGGGTGGTTTCCTGATAGCTGTGAATAGTGAAATGTATACAGATATTTGTTAAGTTTTTGGTTATTTCTTTCTTGATTCTTCTAAAGCCCAGAGTTTATCTTGAGTTGCGTAATTTGTGTAATGTTTCTGACTTCTGTATTTATGTTTTAAGTAAAATATGTATTTGGCCATGTGGGCTCCCTCATTTGTTTCTGCACAGTGGTCTAACTGCTGTCCTGAGGCATGGCTGATGGAAGCAAGTAAGGTTGTACAAAGTACCCAGTAAGCCCCTAAACTTTCGAAGTCAGAGATTTGTGCTCTAGTTCTCAGGTCGAAAAGTTCTTAAGTCGAATCTGCATTTCCCATAGGAATGCATTGAAAACCATTTAATCTGTATCTGCTCTTTTCGTCCATAGAAACTAATGGGAAGCTGCTATTCCGCCTTCTGCCACTAGAGGGGGGATATTTTTTCTTTTTTCCTTTTAACCTAAGATGACTTAGCTTAAAAAAAAGGGGAAAAAAGAGTTCGTAACTCGAATCTAAGTTCGTAAGTCGAGTCCATATATTCCTATGAGAGCGGTTCGTAAGTCAAAACGTTCGTATGTCGAGCCGTCCGTAAGTCGAGACCCCACTGTACCCAGTAAGCCCCTAAACTCTCGAAGTCATAGATTTGTACTCAGTGACAGCACAAAGAGCTCATAAGCCAAATAATATATTATTTTCTGAAGGCAAAACTATGTCTTAATGACTTTGTTCTTGAATCCAGTATTGGGTTTTTTTTTGACTTAACAAGATTTTTATTATATTGTCACAATTTATCTTGACCATATACATCGTTGTGAAAGTTACTGGGGCTATTTATATCTTATAAAAAGATTGTAATAACCCCTCTATTTCATCTCTGAAGTTTGTTTAGTTGCGTTATAAAAACTAGACCTTGTTTGCAATCTTTCTCCGTGGAGTCCTTTTGTTGGGCTACAATATGATCCCAGCTCTTCATATTTATACAGAAGTATGAACTGACTATGCAAAAGCCTTTGATTGTGTGGACCACAACAAACTATGCCAAGTTCTTAAAGAAATGGGAGTGCCTCACCACCTTATCTATCTCCTGAGAAATCTGTACGTGGGACACGAAGCAAAAGTAAGAACAGGATATGGAACAACTGATTGGTTCAAAATTGGGAAAGGAGTACGACAAGGCTGCATATTATCTCCCTGCTTATTTAACTTATATGCAGAATACATCATGTGAAAGGCAGGACTGGAGGAATCCCAAGACGGAATTAAGATTTCTGGAAGAAATATCAACAACTTCTGATATGCAGATGCTACCACTGTGATGGCAGAAAGTGAGGAGGAATTAAAGAACCTCTTCATGAGGGTGAAAGAGGAGAGCGCCAAAAATGGTCTGAAGATCAACATAAAAAAACTAAGATCATGGCCACTGGTCCCATCACCTGCGGGAAATAGAAGGGGAAGATATGGAGGCAGTGACAGATTTGACTTTCTTGGGCTCCATGATCACTGCAGATGGTGACAGCAGCCACAAAATTAAAAGATGCCTGCTTCTTGGGAGGAAAGCGATGACAAACATTGACAGCATCTTAAAAAGCAGAGACATCACCTTGCTGACAAAGGTCCACATAGTCAAAGTTATGATTTTTCCAGTAGCGATGTATGGAAGTGAGAGCTGGACCATAAAGAAGGCTGATTGCCGAAGAATTGATGTTTTTGAATTGTGGTGCTGGAGGAGACTCTTAAGAGTCCCCTGAACTTCAGAGAGAACAAACCTATCCATTTTGAATGAAATCAATCCTGAGTGCTCACTGGAAGGACAGATCTTGAAGCTGCTCTGGTCCATGGGTTCACGAAGAGTCGGGCAAGACTTAATGACAAAACAATAACAGCAACATGAATTGGATGTTTTATCCAGATATATTGTTGTCTTTAGATGGGCTGTTCTCTTCTTCTTGTTGATGGCCTAGGTCAGGGGTCTCAAACTTCAGCATGAGGGCCACATCATATATGCTCAACATTTTTGAGGGCTGGAGGAACACACGCTCGCCTGCCCACCCGCCTGCATGCCCTGGAACATTTTTGAGGGCTGAAGGAACACACACTTGCCTGCCCACCCACCTGCACGCCCTGTTTTTTAAAAAGTAATTCTGCCTATCTCTAATACAAAGAATATATTTTAAGTCCTGCAAACAGAAATGAATGAAATTCACTGCAGTACTTCGAGTGAAATAGTTTCTTCCCCCTTGAAAATAAAACAATTTGAAGAGCTCAGTCAACACATGGCTACAGTACATATATAAATTGTTGACTTAGTCTTCAGATTCAGTTCAGTCCTTGGTGGATTGTTGAGAATCTTGGAAGAATCAAATGAGGGATTTTAACAAAGGTGGCTGAAAAGAGCAGGTATCAAGTACAGTTTGCTTAGCCATAGTTTCTCAAGCAGATGATAAATAGATTAAACATTCAAAACGAATAGTCACATTGTATTACAGTATTTGAAGCTCCAATGTCTTATACAGAGCCCCTATAAAATTGTTCCTGCTACTCTTTAATGAGAGCAACATTATTTCCACTTCATTGTCTGCCCTTAAACATATTTTATGCCAAATAGATACAGTGGTTGGAATCTTCACAGTAACCAGTGAGTTCTCCTGCCTCTCGGAATACTAATTGAAATAAGTATGGAACATAAGTCAGAATTGACTTGATGGAACACAATTATTAAATTCCCTGCGAATTTCCATAGATGGTTTTACCACACTAACACAATCTTTTGCATACTTTAAAAATCAATTGAAAACTTGGATGTTTACGCAGGCCTTCCTTCCAGTTAATAACCTGATTCCTTTTTTCCTTTTTTCTTGTATTTTTTTCCTTTTCTTTTCATCTTGAATCATCTGTATATTGATGTATAAATATGCTGTTATATTTTACATGCTGTGTTATGTAAGTTGGAAGCTGCCTAGAGTGGTCGTTTGACTAGATAGGCGGGGTATAAATAAATAAATAGATAGATAGATAGATAGATAGATAGATAGATAGATAGATAGATAGATAGATAGATAGAAAATAAATAAATAAATAAATAAATACTTCTCTGAAAGTAAGTGCCACTGCACTCCATACATCTTTCAGATAAACATACACTACAGCAGTGATGGCGAACCTATGGCATGCGTGCCACAGCTGGCACGCAGAGCCCTTTATGTGGGCACACGAGCCATGTCATGGAATCTCTACTCCGCCCCCCCATGGCCAAACATCAGGAGGTGGCTGCAGCTGCAGTGGTGGGCCAGGATCTGGAGCACCTGGCTCTGGCAGCAGATCCAGAGTGGGGTCTCGAGGCACCTCCATGTCTAGGATTCCCCCTTCCACCGCCACTTCCAGTTCTGCCACTGGCACTTCTGGTTCCGCTGCCGTGGCATGCTGCCTACTGATTGTCCCCCCCAGTTTTGGCACTGGGGCCCAAAAAGGTTTGCCACCACTGCACTAGAAGAAGATCAAATTAGCAAAACATTTGATTGTGGCCTTGAATCTTGCTGTGATTTAAAGAGGAATGCTTCTGTGATGCTGTTTGTTGTAAACATGAAACTTCTACACATGGCTTGGATCCATATGCAGCTTTGTCTAGTATTGGAATATGTCTCTGATCAGTTTTGTTTAAATCCATTTAAAGTCTTTTAAAAATCTTCTGCATTTTCTCTAGGCATCAGCAGTGTGCTTGAGAGCACCTGTCTCAGAATCCCTATCTCGACTTCAGAGAGATCAGCTGCAGAAATTTGCACAATACCTCATCAGTGAACTTCCTCAGCAGGTAAAAAGAAACACCATGAGTTGCAGCCTCTAAGAACATCTTACGTAAACCATGCCACTTTATGTGTATATTATTGTGTTGCTTCAGCCTCAGCTGTTTTGGAAATTTACATTGAATAAAAATGTTTGTGCTTTTCAGGGTATATTTGATTTAAACATAACAAATTTGAACCTTTAAAAACAATTTAAATAAGAAACCAATTTTTAAATTTAAGATGTGATTTAAATCAATTTGATTTAAAAATTAATGATTGATTTTTATCCACCCTAGTTCTTTTGTAATTGTGATAGAACAAAAGGCTAGAAAGTCTTGTGGAAATTTCCAAGTTTTAACCTCTATATCCTCCTTATAAGTATATACCTAGCAGAAAAGTGAATAGGGAGGAGCCAATCAACATTGGGTTAAAGTTTTTTTTTCTTGTAGCACACATAGCTCCTCACATAAAACTGACACCCAAAAGAGGTGAACAGCAAAATGTCTGGCAGGAGTCAGTGCCCATCTACCAAACAGTGACTGTGGAGGGTGCCACTAAATAAAAAACACGGAAGAACAAGTGTAAAAGAAAAAAGTGGAGGCAGAATTCATTTTATGGTTTAAAAATCTAGAAACCAAGCCATATGAGGAATGACTGAGGAAGCGCATATGTTTTATCTGGAAAAGAAAAGATTGAGAAGTATTATGGTAGCCATCTTCAAATATTTAAAGGGCTGACACATGGAAGATGGAGCAAGCTTGGCTTTTGTTACCCCAGAGGGTAAGACCTGAAGTAATGCATTCAAATTGCAAAAAAGATTTCAGCTAAACATTTGGAAAAACTGTTTTACAATGAAACAGAGAACCTTGCAGAGTGCTGGACTTACTTTTGTTGGAGGTTTTTAAGGAGAGGTTAGATGGTCACCTTTTAGAGATTCTTTAGCTGTAGATTTCAAATGGACTGGACTGAATAACTTTTGGGGGTCCCTTCCTGCTGTACAGTTCTGTGACTCTGTGAAAGTACTCTTTTCTGATTCCTCTTGGCAGATTCACAGAAAAGCAAGTTAGTTAATTCCTTCAGATCAACTGAAATTAATTTTTCATCATACTCATTTCCTCAAATGAATAGGAGCAAGCTTGTGCACATGCATGTGGTGGTGTGGAGGGGTTCGCACACATGCGTATGGCACACTTGCAGGGGTGGAGTGCGCTTGCGCGCATGTGTGTGTCAGCGCTCACAGGGCCCCTGCTCACACGTATACACACAGCATGCTCACAGGGGTGGAGTGCACTTGCACACGTGTGCGGTGGGCAGGAGATCTGTGTCCGCAGCCTGGTCTTGCTGAGGCTGCGGACCACTGCTGGGTTGCGGACTGGGGGTTGGGAAACCCTGCTATATAGCCTTTAAGCCCTTTTTGTGGTCCTCAGTGGCTCGCAGTACCCCACCTTCCCAGAAAAGTGTTTTAATGACAAGCTGCAAAATCTGAGGAGGAACCCCAGTAAGGCAATAAGCAAGTGTGAACTGAGCAGAAATTTCTTCCTGGGTCGATTCTCCAGCATTTATCTTGTTTAAACATTGCTTTTTGCTTGCAAAGCATTGAGCTTTTTGTTGTTGGATAGCGTAGTAGTTTAGGTCTCTGGATGTGGAGTCAGAGGTTGGGAGTTCAATTCCCTACTGACTCCTTGACGGGCTGGTCTTGATGATCCATAGGGTCCCTTCCAGCTCTGCAGATTATGATTGAATTGACTGATTGTTTGAGAGTTTAAGTGCTAGTTGTGATTTAAGAGTCTTAGGTTTGCTAGACTATTAACCATATGAAAACAAAAAAGCAGTTTTATAATGCTGCTGTTATCTTATTAAAGTAGATGTGAGCAAAATACTGTTTCCTATTTCATGAATCAGCTTGAAGGTGTACATTTGATTTTCATAGAACAAATAATATTTGATGAAAGAAGAATAACGTTTTAAAAATAAAAATCTTGTATCTATCAAGTATTAGTTAGCAAGCCTATGTCTGGGGTTGGGAATTTAAATTGCAAAATCAATTTTATGTAAAGAATACTGTTTTAACTACGAATCGAGAAATATTTACATTGCTATATGATAAAATCTTTTATTTATCAGTTCTGCATATTGTGGGCAAAAATTCTATTGCGTAACTATGCATGTGTGACTTGAAGTTGCCCCTAACTTAGTTACAGTAGAGTGGAGGTGCATGTGCCATCCATGACACACTTCTACCAGTGAATTTTGCGATTGGTCATATTCAGGAGGCACAGCCGATTGTGTAGCTGAATTGTCCTATTCCTTTATGCTGGGTGTAGCATAAAGTTAACAGGCTTTTGCCCTCTGAATACATATATTTTTATTTATGCGCTTGTTTTTAAGTATTATATATTGTATTTGCATATTGTACAGTGGAACCTCTACTTACGAACATCCCTACCTATGAACAATCCAACTTACGAACAGCTCTGTTCGCAAAATTTTGCTTCTACTTGTGAACGGAGCTTCAAGATACGAACAAAAAAGGCAGGGGAAAAGGGCGGGAAATTTAAATTTGCTAACCGTTAGTGGCGAAGAGGCTTTCACCCCAATGGTTAGGAAAAGGGAGACTCAGCCTCCTGGGGATCCACCACCACCGCAATTGCCGCCTTCAGAGACCTCCTGGGGGTCCTCCGCCGCCATTGGAGACCCCCAGGAGTCCCCCGCCGCTGCTATCGCCGCCTTCAGAGACATCCCGGGGTCCTCCACCACTATTGGAGACCTCCCGGGGATCCCCCGCCACCGCAGTTGCCACCATCGGAGACCTCCAAGCGGTCCCCTGCCGCTGCGATCGCTGCCTTCGGAGACCTCCCAGGGCTTCCTCATCCTAACGCAGGATTTCACCACCGCAATTGCCACCATCGGAGACCTCCAAGCAGTCCCCTGCCGCTGCGATCGCTGCCTTCAGAGACCTCCCAGGGCTTCCTCATCCTGACGCAGGATTTCGTGGGGTAGACTGGGCCTACCAGGGGAAGCCCTGGTCTACCAAGGCTTCTCATGGCAGGCTCGGTCTAACGGGGCTTCCCCTGGTAGGCCTGGTCTACCCCGGGAAAGCCTGCGTCGGAATGGGGAAACCCTGGGAGGCCACCGAAGGTGGCGACCGCAGCGGTCATATTTTTAAAATACATTTCAAGAAATAATAAATAGTAATATGTTGCACTTAAAGTAATAAGTTAATACATTACTTTTTTCAGAAGTGGTAGCTAATGCTGTATCAATTACTTGGGGGGGTGACTTACCAAAATCTTTGTCAATTTTCTCTTGATTATGTTTTATTTTGGTATCATGATTTTACTTATTCTAAGCTACCTTGAGAATTTGTACAAGGGTCGGGGTAGAAATCTTTATAATAAATGAATATTTTGGAAAGGTAAGATCCATTGTAGATGTTTTAGTAATTACAGTCCAGCAATTGTTCTGTTTCTTTACCAGTATGAGCCATGCAGTTTGCTCAGTTCTGAAGTTATGACTCTTTACTTTCTCTGAACAAGAAACATTTTTGTTGTTTTGGAAATAAAGTGTTTGGAAACGTGCTGGAAATAAAGTGTCATTTGGTTTAAATCAGCTCATTTTGGGAGATTTCAGTTACTTCTATTCCTTGGGCAGATCCCTCCTGCTTTTCAGGAAAGATAGTTACATTTCTATATTTTCTTGCAGTCAGCTTTGTTACAATTATGAAATAATTGGACACTGACACAGGTTTTGCTATTTTAGCTGTTTGCCAAAATAAATTCATTGCAGTTAAATAATGAATATGGGCTTAAAGTACAGTCTCTCAAATTTGAGGATATTCACATCCAAATCGGAGGAAGGGTTTAGGAATTACTTAACATGTAGCTCCCCTCTTTTTCAACAGACCAAAAGTAATTGGACAATTGAGTCAAAAGTTGTTTCATGGACAGGTGTGGGCTATTCCTCATTTCATCATCAGTTCAACAGGTGGAAGGTCTGTAGGTGATTCCTGGTGTGGTATTCACATTTGGAACCTGTTGCTCTGAACCCACAACATGCATTCAAAGGAGCTCAAATGCAAGTGAAACAGGCCACCCTTAAGCTGTCAAGAAAGAAAGAAAGAAAGAAATCCACCAGAGAGACAGCAGGAACATTAGGAGTAGCCAATTTAACAGTTTGGTAAATTCTGATTTAAAAAAACCCTCTGTGACACAAAAAGGCCTTGGATGTCCACAGAAGACAACAGTGATGGATGATTGTAGGATCTTTTCCATGGTAAAGAAAAACCCCTTCACAACATCCAGCCAAGTGAAGAACACTCTCCAGAAGGTAGGCATATCACTATCCAAGTCTATCATAAAGAAACCATTCATAAGCCTCAAGAATAGAAAGACCAGATTAGGCTTTGCCAAAAATATCTTTAAAAAACCAACTCAGTTCTGGAACAGCATTCTTTGGACAGATGAAACTAAGATTAACCTGTATCAGAATGATGGGAAGAAGAAAATATGGAGAAAGCTTAGAACAGCTCATGATCTGAAGCATGCCACATCATCTGTAAAACATGGTGGAGGCTGTGTGATGGCATTGACATGCATGGCTTCCAGTGCACGACACTGGATTTATTGATGATATGACAGAAGCAGCCGGATGAATTCTGAAGTGAATAGGGATATATTGTCTGCTCAGATTTAGCCAAATTCGGTGAAGTTGATTGGACAACACTTCACTTTACAGATGGACAGTGACCTAAAACATACTGTGAAAGCAACCCAGGCATTTTTGAAGGCAAAGAATTGGAATATTCTGCAATGGCCAAGTCAGTCACCCAATTGAACATCCCTTTCACTTGCTGAAGATGAAACTTAAGGCAGAAAGACCCACAAACAAACTGCAACTGAAGACAGCTGTAATAAAGGCCTGGAAAAGGAGGAAACCCAGCATTTGGTGATGTTTATGTCTTCCAGACTTAAAGAGTCATTGCCTGAATAGGATTCTTCACAAAGAATTTAAAATGAACATTTCATTTATGATTATGTTAATTTGTCCAATTATATTTGAGCCCTTGAAATAAGGGGACTGCGTATGAAAATGGTTGCAGTTCCTCAAAATTTCATACAATATTTTTGTTCAACCTCTTGAATTAAAGATGAAAGTCTGCACTTCAGTTGCATCGTGGTTGTTTCATTTCAAAACCATCATGGTGGCATATAGAGCCAGAATTATGAAAATTTTGTCAGTGTCCAGTTATTTCTGAACCTACCTGTATTAAAACAGCATGAGACATCTGTCTTGTACTGATGCTTCTGTTGCAGTGGGTTGTAGTCCACAAGATTGTGCAGAATAAGACTTGATAGGCTTTCAAGGTGCCACAAAATGGTTGTTTTCTCCTTCCCATTTAGATACTTCCTACTGCTCAGCGACTGTTGGATGAGTTGTTATCATCCCAGTCTACTGCCATCAACACTGTATGTGGTGCCCCAGGTAACATTTTAATTGTCATCTAAATATTTTTTTTCAGTTATGGAAGGTTAACTTTTGAAATTCTGAATCACAGTATTCCAGGCTTTGCAAGGACACTAGAAGGGCAAAGATAAGCACTGTATACTGAGAATCCTATTGAGTTGTTGTTTTGTAAGTGGTGAGAAAGGAGGGATTCTTTAAAACTGAGAACTACTTTAATTCAGTGTGTGGTACCTA